ATAGCTGGATTGAATAGGACCTCTAGTCCTAGTTTAGTGAGGAATCTCCAAACTGATTTCCACAGTGGTTTCACCAGTCTACACTCCCACCAGCAGTGGAGAAGTGTTCCTTTTTCTCCACATCGTCACCAGCATTTGTTATTGGTTGATTTCTGAATGACAGCCATTCTTACTGGGGTGAGATGGAATCTCAGTGTTATTTTAATTTGCATTTCACAAATGACTAATGATGTTGAGCATTTTCTCATGTATTTATTTGCCATTTTTATTTCTTTATCTGAGAACTGTTTTTTTTTTTTTTTTTTTTTTTTTCTTTTTTTTTTTTTGTCTTTGCAAACTCTCAAAGACAGACTCTGAGGAAAATCTTTCCTAAAACAATAAGGATTCTTTAAGAGAGCTCCTCTGAAATCACTTTTGATTTTTATATCTAAAATGATATGATCAAATATCTCTGGAGTTTCACATTTTTAAATAAAATAGTAAGTCAACATAATCTTTTAAAATTTTGTTCTAGGAGCAAAGTGAGAATATTATTACTGTACTTTCTTCCCAATCCCTCTCCCCTACCACACAAATATCTATAAACATATAAGCAAGACCATTTAACAGAAACCCCATTATCAAACTTACGGTTTAAAAACAGATACTGAAGTTGCTCACTTTTTCCTCAACTGAAGTGCTATTAATTCAATCATTGTGCAAATTTCATATTACTTTTAATTTTATTAAAATATATATAAACATAAAAATTGTGCTTACCTGCTTGGGTATGTAGAGTTTTAATTTTAGCATCCGGGGGCGTTTGGGGTTCTTCTGAGAAAGCATAACACATTGCTATTAGAAAATGAACTCCAGCAAGAAAAAGTAATTGCAATTATTTCAGTTAGAAAGAGAATATACTTACAGTAACTCCGTCCAAAAGCTTCTGTAAATCCAGCAGCAATTGCTCCAATTGGTCCTCTGTTTCCGTTGTAGAGCTTGAAGTAGGTGCACTGCTTGTGAGGAGTGCAAGAGTTAGTGCAATGCAAGACAAGACTAGCAGCTTGTACATTGTGGCAGCAGTTGAGGTTACTGTGAGTAGTGATTAGAGAGGATGATAGGAAGCTCTTCAACAAGAGAAGCAATTTATACTGTTAATTCTGGAAAAATAACATGGGGGTGTCATAATGTTTTACATATTACACATATTTTCAAAGACTCTACCTGTGTGGCAGAAAGCATTACCTTTGTTTTTCCTCCTCTGATGACTCTTTGGAATTTCTTTAAACCCCCATAAACTGAGTGAATGGATGTAGGTGAAATCCCTCTTGGTTACCTTAGCCCACACTTAGGCGGCAGTTTTAGTACATACAACTAACGCCTCTTGTGTGAAACAATTTTTCCTCTTTTCTTTAAGGGGGTGGAGAAACAAAAGTAACTCATGAAAATTTTCTCTTTGTCATAAGACTGTGCTGAATGTGTAAGCAGCGTGTTGTGGTGGACAAGAAGAGTAAATAGATGAAATGGATGCATTTTAGATTTGTTGATTAGACAGGAAGAATATTGGTTTCCTGTTTTAGGATGGTTTTACCTTTTATCTACACAATGAGCTAATTGCATACAATATGGCAGATTACTTCTTACACTGCTAGCTGCAGAAATATTAAGATACCTAAAAAGACTTGTTCAGTTGAGGTAATGTATTATTCTGTCTTAAATTTAAACTGTTTCTGTTAATGTTTAAATGTCTTAATGCCTGCTGTACTTTTAAAGAGTGTGATGTTTAACAAGTACTAAGAAACAATTCACATTCAACTATGCTGGCACTAGTTTTATAACAGACTTTATATGTGTCATATATACATCCATCCATGTTTCTAGTTATGTTTTCTCTGTAACTGATTTGGATTTGTTCTCTAAAACACCTGTGACATTTGAGTGCAGGAAGAGTGGTTATAAAATATGAGCAGATCAATATTTTTTCAGTTATTGAACTGGGTAGGATCCTTAGATGTGTTCACTCATCCGCAGTATGAAACATTAACTGGGTGAATGATGGTGTAGCTATGTACTTATAATCTGGAGAGAACTGAAGATAGCGTTTGCAAAGAGACTGCCTGTAACACCTCCATCTTACTGCATTATTTATTTCTAGTCTAATCTTTAAACAGACATTCGTTCATGTAGCCCCTAAAATGGCCCCAAGTGTACAGAAAGGGGTGGAGGAGTGTGAGGCACACAAACTGATTTAAACCTTACATCAACCTTTGAAGTGATAGTTCCCAGTTTGTCCCAGTGTGCCAATGAAAAACTGAGAATTAGAGAAATTAAGTACAATAACTTGTTCTAGATCACTGAGCTCTTACTGCCAGTATGAGGCAGAACAAGAATTTGAGATTACAATGTTCTGAGTCCAAAAGCTGCTTCCTTTACATTATATTCTTTCTCAACTTACATACAGTAGGAAAGAGAGATACCTAGACAAATGTAATCCTAGGTAAAATGTGGGTGTTTTGTCAAGAGAGAGGAATGCAAAGAATTTTGAACAGCAAACAATTACACAAAAATGAATTTTGACAATGAGGAGGGTAGGAAGGGCAGAAACGGTTAAACATTATAAGTAACACTCAGCCCTAATCTTTTACAAAGGACAGAGAAAATGGTTCGGTAATACTTATCTATGCATTGGACAATATTATAGAGAACATGAAATTTCCTTATAACAAATTAAGATAAGCATCATATTTCCTTAGGTGGAAAAATGAAGGAAAAACCAAGTTAAGGACAAGTCTGATGATTTTTTTCTGTCACCTAATATTTCAAAACATCTCTCTGACCTTCCAAATTAAAACACTAACATTGCTGTAAGAAGAACACTGTTGAGTGCATGTCAACTTTATTACACTTGTTTCACTTCTCTTCAGGCCTGTGTCTCATCCCAGCATCATCAGCTCAACCCTTTACCCTTCCAGAATGGAAGAATTCAGGCCCACACATTTTCCAGTGGGGACTTTTCCAGTGGGGTCTGTGATGTTCTCAAGGTCTTCATATTTCTATTTCTCCAGCTCTTCTATTAGAGAATGGGGTGCTAAATACATTTCTGGGAACTTGTAGAAAATTGAGTCTTTGGCCCCTAACTTATCTCTATTATTGTGTAATAGACACCAGCACAAAAGTTGGCCTTAGAATTTCTTTCTTGAAATGCTTGGGGAGAAAGCTATTGTACACTGTGGCATGCTTTCTATTTTTAACATGCCTGACACATAAGCTGGCTTTTTTTGGCTATCTGTGGTGGTGACATAATCATTACTAGACTGCTAGCTACCACATGTGTTCTACCCCTCACCTCTCCTTTCACCATGTAAAATTTTATTACTCAACAAGAAGGCATTTTAGTTGCTTAGCATTTTTTGTGACTCTGCTTCTTAGAGTTGAGTGATCCAAATCCTTTATGAAGGGTAGCCTCAGTTCCTGTATCTGCCTCCCAGAGGTTGGTCAGTCTGTTGCACATATTTTCCATCTATTAAAGCTGACTTTCAAGGACCCCACATGCCACAAGGACTTCTTCCTCCAATCTTCTTTCATGGTTTTGTAAAACCTTAATTTGGTCTTGAGCTTGATGCCTATCTTAATGTATCACTGGTCAGTTTCTCCAAAAGCTTCCTGGATTTTCAGTTCAGCTTCAGTTCTCTCTCTCTGAAATTAAGACATGCTGTTTGATGATGTTTAACATGCCATACAATCCAGAGAGAATTCCACTAGGAGTTTGAGTCTCTTGTAATCACAGATTTATGGATTTACAGAAATGTCACATTATGGAGTACAATAGATCTGATAAATAAATGTAGTCACCAACCAGTGCCTGAAGAAATCTACATTTTCACAGGAAACACAAAACTCCTAGCTGCTGTATGTGCTCTTCTGCATGGTAAATTTTACAGATGTTCACGATGTTTGGGGATGGCAGAGTTATTTATCCAGAACTTCTAATTTTGCAAAGGGCATTCAAATTCACTAACTCATTGAATCATATTTTACTGATAAGAAATCTGATGCATGCCAAGTTAAGTTCCTTGCCTTAAATCACATTCTTAATTAGAGGTGAAGTTAGAGCAAAAACACATCTTCCTGACCCCTTAGAATCTTAGCTGTTTCCAGGGGCTCGCTGGGCTACAGAGGACAGACTGTGTTTCACTGAGTCTGCTCCTCCATCTCCCTGCAACCTGGCTGTGATGGCTGACAAGTCGCACTACGCAGAATTCCCCTTCAGCTCAACTCCGTGTCTGACCAGCATGAGGATGTCTGTGAACTTAGAGCAGGTGAATCCACACAGTAGTACAAAGCTAGTTGTTGCTTGGGTTTTTTAGTATCTTTTTAGTGTACTTTAAGAATGCTGGAGCTTTCAGTGGCTCCTGACATTTCTCCTGTATGTAAAGTCGGAAGTGATTATATGACCTGTGGATGTCCACTGCCTTTAAAATGCCACATTCTGAGGCTGGCAGGGAAATGCTGAGCTAGGAATTGTTAGCATTGGCAGCCAAGAGACACCTTCCTACTTAAATGTGAGCATGGGGGTATCTTAAAAACCTTCAGAAATTTACTTTTTGTGTAAGTATGAGAGCCCTATGGCAAGTCACACAGAAATTACTAGAATTAGAATATGATGCTCTGACAGTAAGAGCATTCATGAGCACTTTAAGTTTATAAAACTTTCACATCCATTCATCTCATTTTACTTCCTTTAGTCTCATTACTTTGCAAAACAGTTTAAGAAATAATTGTCTGGGGGCTGGGGATTTAGCTCAGCGGCAAAGCGCCTGCCTGGCAAGTGCAAGGTCGTGAGTTCAGTTCCCGGTACCAGAGAAAAACCAAAAAAAAAAAAAAAAAAAAAGAAATAATTGTCTGTTTTTATGAGTTTCATACAGCCAGAATATTACTGTCTTTATACATGAAAAGTCACAGGTAAATATTAGCTTCCTGCTTGCCAAGATAAATGCTTTCATTAAACTCTTGTGAAAGTTCATCTGTTATTTACAGTCATTTAAGCTTATCTACATCTAACTGGTTTTTTTCTGTCTAATCTTATTTCTAAATTCTCTATTAACAGTTTGTTCTTTGCTCTTCTCCTATAGTGGCTTTGGGTATGCCACTGACAGAATCCATTGTTTCATCATCCCTAAATACTACATTTTTAAAAGATTCTAGTCTGATTGTTTGCTTTGAAACTTATGCTTTTATTTTCTGATTTTAAAATAATACATATTTATGTAGAAAATTTTGGAAATATAGAGAAGCTTTAAAAATATCAAAAAACAAAAGTCAACTATAATCTCACCCACTGGAGATAACCATTGTTGACACATTCTACTTCACACTTCTGCAGATCAAGGCAAATTTATTATATAATCAGATCAAGGCAATGTTATTATATAATATAGTAATGCTAGAGAAGAGGTAGTCAAGCAAACCAACACTGTCAGAACCATGGAGATGTGAGGAGGAGCCCGCCTCTGTGAATTAGATGCACCTGTAGCTCCTGCTGTGGAGACAGAAAGCTTTCCCATCACCCTGTGGTAACTCTACTTTTTATATGAGTGGAGGTTTTAGCAGCAGCTGATAGGGGACTAATTTTTAAAATGTAATTGTGAAAATATTTTTAAATGACTCAAAATGTACAAGTACAAGTGTATATGCATTTCATTCTTAATTCTCTTCTCTGTTCTTGACCTGTCTCAGGGTGGTCCCACAATTTTAGGCAAATAGTACTGGATTCCCCACAAGAGAAGGTCAGGATTTATGCAGAATTCATTTCAGCTCTCAGAACAAGGTTGTTTACAGATTAACACACACGGAATTTCCTCCCCTCTCTGTCATAAGGTTGGGTATTCTGTTTCCTACAGCTTGGATTAATAGGATAGAATTCATGTAGATCATTAACGTCAGATGTCATTGAGGATAATTATGGGTACAGTTGTTAAGAGCCGTAGAGAAGATAGAAAATAAAGGCAGTAAGAATCTTTAACATAACAATTTATTAAAGTTAGTTTGCCAAATTGAAGGCTAGGAATAAAGCAGAGAAAAAGCGCTTCGTGGTGTAAAACTGTCAGAAGACAATAGAAAGAACAGTACCAAGAAT